CATGTTATTTCCACATCGTCCAACTATATTAGAGAAGATGAAAAAGTAAGAACAGTCCAAGGGGGATTTCGCATTCATTGAAATCAAATTGGACCGTTATTGATTAGAACAGGTCTTGATCTTGAGCTACAACAGACTACAAATCTGGACAGGGATGGTTTTTCATTATAATCTCTTCTAAAGACGATTGAAAACATCAACAAATCAGGAGACGATCATTTGAAAACAGCCGCAGCCTCAGCCTCAGCCACTGATTATGATAATGGACTGGCATCATAACAGAACTATTATCCTCAGAGCAATAACATAATGACATAATACCAGAATGCATTGCACTCAGTAATACACTATCTGAAATATTTGACTTGTAAGAGTAATCCCTAGATTAACACCTGACACCGCATCCGGCCCTCGAACTAGCCACTGTTGTAATATCATGTTAAAAAAACACAGACAGCTCATGCGATACACACAAAGTAGTAATAGTAGTAGCTGTAGAAACAGTAGTAGCAGTCGCAGAAGTAGCAGTAGTAGCAGTAGCAGTAGTAGCAGCAGTAGCAGTAGTAGCAGCAGTGGTAATAGTAGTAGCAGTAGCAGGAGTAATAGTAGCAGAAAGAGTAGTAGTAGCAGTAGAAGTAGTAGAAGTAGCAGTAGTAGCAGAAGTAGCAGTAGTAGCAGAAGTAGCAGTAGTAGCAGCAGTAGCAGCAGTAGTAGCAGCAGTAGCAGTAGTAGCAGCAGCAGTAGTAGCAGTAGCAGTAGCAGCAGTAGTAGTGGTAATAGTAGTAGCAGTAGTAGCAGCAGTAGCAGAAGTAATAGTAGCAGAAAGAGTAGTAGCAGTAGAAGTAGCAGTAGTAGCAGTCGCAGAAGTAGCAGTAGTAGCAGAAGTAGCAGTAATAGCAGTCGCAGTAGCAGCAGTAGCAGCAGTAGCAGCAGCAGTAGTAGCAGCAGTAGCAGTAGCAGTAGTAGCAGTAGTAGTAGTAGCAGCAGTAGCAGTAGTAGCAGCAGCAGTAGTAGCAGTAGTAGCAGCAGTAGCAGCAGTAGTAGCAGTCGCAGAAATAGGAGTTGTAGTAGTAGCAGCAACACTAGCAGCAGGAGTAGTAGTAGTAATGGTACTAGTAGCAGCAGCAGCAGTAGTAGTAGGAGCAGCAGAAGTAGCAGTAGTAGCAGGAGTAGTAGTAGTATTAGTACCAGCAGCAGTAGCAGGAGCAATAGTAGCAGCAGCAGTAATAGCAGTCGCAAGAGCAGTAGTAGCAGTGGCTATTTCTATATTGTTTTGTGTTTTATCTTGTGTTGTTGAAATACCTGATGAGGTACTGATGAGGTACTGATGAGGTACTGATGAGGTAGTAAACTTCCTTAGGGATGAATAAAGTATTTCTATTCTATCAATGTAAGTATAAACCAATAACCATAATAGTTTCTTACTGAGGTGCATGTAGATTACTTACCCTTGATTTTTTTATGCTTTAGGACTGGATGGATGTCACTATAGAATGAATTTTTAAAAACATATCAGAAAGAATGCTTCATTACGTAATATTTCCACTGATCTAAACTCCAAATTGACTGGGTTAAGACTCAATGTTACTATAGTTCTACTTTTTTATTGTATCTTACATTTGTATAATTGTCCAATCCCTGTCATGGCATTTTTTGTAAACATACACTGCACAAACGTAATTAAAAGTTGCACTGTACAAACGTATTTACCGTGGGCGGCACGGTGGCTGAGTGGATAGCACTCTCGCCTCTCAGCAAGAAGGTCCTGGGTTCGAATCCCGGTCGGACCAGGGCCTTTCTGAGTGGAGTTTGCATGTTCTCCCCGTGTCTGCGTAGGTTTCCTCCGGGTACTCCGGTTTCCCCTACCACTAAAAATATGTCCAATAGTTCTGGCATGCGCTTCCTGTACTGGCGACCCCGCTCCCATCTCTGTGTGGAGTGAGAGACAAATGCCCAAAATTAACAATTGTAAACCGCTTTGAGACTCAGATATGCAGTGAAAAGGCGGTATATAAATAAAAACTTACAAACTTACTTTAAATGTTACGCACACATAAAGGGTAGAGTGGCTCAGTTTCACGATCATCTCCATTTCAGGTTCTGAATTACCAACAACACAACCACTTGTACTAATTAAGTGATGTTGTTATAATTCAGTGCGTCGCATAAATCATCATTGACCCTGATTAGCCCGCTGCTCCGTATCTTTCCTACTGCCACAAATATTAAAAAAAGAACTCGATGTGAATACAAACGAGAAGCTCCTATAACCCCACCATCTGTGTTTAGAATTTACAAAATGAAAGAGCAAATAAACTCGCACTAAATGCTTTGCAATTTGACTTCATGTAATAATAACAAGCTTTACTTTGTCGTGCTATCGGCCCGGGTTCCACCAGTGCATTCCTGCTCACTGCTCGGAGCAGATCAAGAGATTATAATATCTCTAGCATCGTGCAATATCTAGGTCATAATCCAGCTCCCAACACGGTTAAGGCTGTTAGTGATATGGTGTCTTATTTATTTGTTTGTGGGTAGAGTAAGGGATAAAAAGCAGATGTATTCAGAAAGCTTGCAATTCATTCGCTAAAGAATTACATTTTAATCATTCCTTTATCATGGATTTAATTGCAGACACCACACCCTTCGCATTTGCCGCTCATACAGCATTCTATTCACCCTGTTCCTCTTGGCTTGTAACTCATGATGAGCTGCACATGCTTTTTTTGTATTTCTACTGTTGGACGTTATTTATTTATTCATTTATTTGACAGGGAGATTGTACAATAAATGTATAGTGCATAAGCTAAAACTAATCTGTGGTCCCTGGACAGAGGCAACGTGAGAGCTGGTTTACAGTGTTCAAAGAATTATTAAACAGAATGGTCCAGTTAGCAGCTAAATTACAGTAGAATGCAACACCCCTCACCACAAAGAGACACAATATACACAATATATACACACAATTATTCACATCTGATTAATGACTGCACTCTGGATTGTCTTTGAGCATGTTTTAAGCTCCATTCCCTCACAGACAGAGGTAAGAAGTTCCAGGCCCCTGCAGCACTAACAGAAGCAGTTCTGTCCAAATGAAGAATTCCTAAAGTTCATATAACTGTCTAACCTGCTCCCACCTTCTTACAAGCTATTTAGTTTATTTAGGGTGCCAGGTTATGAAAACTGGTATACACTAGTCAAATATTTTACCCATCATTTTGGGATAGAGTCAACTGTCTGTAGAAATGCTTTATGAAAACACTTACAGCAGACACTTTTGATGTTGTATGTAAGAGGCCAAGACATTTTTTCTGTTTTGTGATCAGTTAAATCAAAAGCATTGAGCAGTGCATAAAAGCAGACGAGACCTTGCAGATTAAGAGACCCTTAAAGGTATATAGCAAGACTCTCCACGGTTTGTGAGGCTGCATTCAGACTAGGACCAGGGAAAGAGCACGCAACTACAAAGTCATTTCAACGGCTGTGGGTGCCAAATATGGAGACAGTGTTGAATATAGAGCTCCACACCAGAATGCTTTTGTCGCTGCATGGTCAGAAATAGTTGATTCTGGGGCTTACATTTTTGGTTCGTTGAGTTCAGAGGATTCCTATTGCAAACGCCTGTAAACCCTGTAACTATGACGCAACCAAATACTGATGTTACGGCATGCTCTAAATTCCTCTTCTCTAACAACAAAAGTTTTCTCTATAACCTCTCAATTTTCCCACAGATAATTTGGTAGATTACATCAATTACAGCACAGTGTCCATATGCAGCTTCTTTGAATCTCGGTTTAAGAGCCGATACTGGGGATTTTCCTTGTAAATAACATTAAATTTCAACAATTCATTTAATATGGAAGTAACCGACAACATAGTCAAGAAAATAAAACCGGAATACAAATATTCCCAACTCACATCTGTGTAACTTTTCTTTGGCTTCTGTTGCAATTTTGATCATCTTAGATCAGCTTCAGACAGAAATGTGAAAAAGAGGATCACACTCAAACAGTTCTCAGCCAAAAACAATCTAACAGTGACTCACGACGGGTCGTACGGGTCGAAAGACTATTTTCTAAAATGGATCCAAATAACCCCCACAGTGATTAAAAGAAGAAGAAAAATACCTTAAATTAGGGTCTACAAGGGTCTATATGACCCAGGGCTGGGTTTCAGCTCAAAAAATACTTTTTTTGGGGGTATTTTTGAAATCACGGTGGCGGGTCAATTTAACCCGAGTATAGCACAAGGGTTATGGAACAAAAAAGTTAGGTACCCCAGCTTTAAGCTTGTTGAAACCTCTTGGTACTTAGCCATTCACTCTATGCTTGATATAATGAGCTCTTTCTGTAGCCATAGTTGCTCTGGGGCACAATGACGTGAGCAAATCTGCCGATCCGGAGAAGTGTCTTGCCTAAGGACAAGATAAGAGTAGCATCATGCTCCTTTAACGGCTACGCTCTGGTCCATTGTGATGAACTTGTGAATTAAGAAGGGAATATCTTATATCATTTGAAAATAAAACTTAATACCAAACCCCACTGTCTGTGACAATAATAGTGTGTACATTTTTGCAAGTAATATAAAAGTAATGATAGGTATGTGTGGTAGCATGGAGACTACACATGATACAGCATTTACCATATACAGTTACAGCATTTTGTAATGAAGACAATATATCACTTAATACACTGAACCAAATTGTCAAATCTCAAAGCCACACCATGATCTAATCAAATTGTGGCAGAAAATGTATAAAAACCTATAGAAACCATCACCTCTAAGTAAATTAAAACAAATAGTCACTACTAAACATATGTATTGTACATTAGGATTATGTATTGTCCTATGTGTTGTATCTTAGTCAGCAAATCCCATGTTTGTTTGAAATCTGACATCGCCTTCACCCAGTCTGTCAATAGCACTTTCTGGGCCTACAAACACAGACACACGCAAACACACACACGCACCATTCAAACCTCTGTTACATAATGACTCACCGGCCTTCCCCTCCTCCCGCTCCGACCGCATTTCGGACTGCGCTTTGGCCCCGCACGACTCCACTGTCAGCCCGGGAGTGTGCTCTCATAGCAGACAAAACAACACCACCTCCAACCGTATGTGTCTCTGCAACTCGGCACCGTTCACATCTACGCACCGCTGACCACCTGGCTCCTGTCTGCCGTTCGCTCCACCCAGAAACAGGTTACCAGGAAGTATTCACCCTCCCCTTTCTTTCTTCTGAGCCAGTCCTTTTGGGATTCTCTTGCTTTATTGTGCCTTTACCTGTCAAGCAACTCTCATTTCGAACCGCTTTCAGGCAACACCCACTGCACCAGGACAAAGGGGAGGGGTAAAGGACAGGTAGACATGCAGGTAAAGTGCACTCACTCCATCTGCTGGCGACATGTATAAATATTTATTAAAGCTGAGATACCTAACTTTTCTACCGCTTTGTGTCTGATTTAAATTGAAATTCAGGCTACTTTACTTATCTTAACAATGGCAAATATAAACCTAACTCTTTTAATATACTTTTTCAAGCGTTTGAAGGACAGATAAGCCCTTTGACATTCATCTATTTGCTCTAGGATATTTAAAAAAAAAGGTTTTTTACAACAATATTTTGATTGATTCTCTGATTTGCCATTGGTAAATCATCAATATTGTACAGTCCTTCAAGAATACTACTGTTGTGATTTGGGAAGGTACAACAAAACCTAATTTGGTCCCCATTTATACAATAAAAAACATAACCATAATTATTAGTATCATCATAGGCCTAAAACTTATTGTTCAATCCATTATTTATTTAGGGGATCTAGTGATTATTGTCATAGACCTGGATATGAGGCCTGAAATGGAACACAAATATGTACAGCGCGCCCAAAGTACAAGTCGTACCACCACTGTACCATCTCAGAATTGCATGAGTCAACTTCCTGAATTGTAAACCGTGAATGCTAATGTGCAGTTCAAAATGGATTCCCCACAGATGTCATTGTATGATGTGTGAAGACTTTGTGGTATGTGCGGCTGCATGCTGAGACTGGATGTGCAGAAGGTGCACTTGATCGCTATCAGTGAGGAACACAGCTGAGGGAGTTATGCCAGAAACTTCAACTATGTGCTAAAAAAAACTTTACTTCTAACACCGGATTTATTGTTTTCATTCTTACATGTTATTGACTCAAGTTGGGGCTCTGAGTTCTGCTCCAGACAGAAGCCCTAGTGGCATACGGACATGGGTCAAATGCAGAAAAACAAAAAATCCAAATTCCACTAAGTATACCTTACTTAGCAATAGTACGGTCACCTCAGAGTCACCATGAAAGATCAGGACCATGGGTTCTTCAAAGCTATTGTAAAACAAGGGTCATACGTTTGCAACAACTTGACAGTATATTCATTTTGAGTCATATAAGCCTGTCTCGGCTGGTGCCGAGACAGGACTCGAGATGGGGAGGCAGCGTTTCAGATTTATGCAGCTAAAATCTGGAAATATCTGCCTGAAAATGTGAGACGGGCTTCTACTCTGACAATGTTCAAATCCAGGTTAAAACTGTTCTGGTCAGCTCTACAGACAACTGAAGGATTTTATCTCTACAACTGAAGGATTTTTCTCTTTTCTCTTTTTAATGCACTGTGGCTATTCTTAATCTTAATCCCATGTGTGATTATATTGTTTTAAGGTTTTAACTACTTATGTGATTTTATTTCTATGTTTTTAAATATATTTCTTGTGATCTTAATGTTTGTCTTTAATCAATTAGACTTAGATTTTAAAGATCCACAAGGGACATTGCGTTGTCACAGTAGCTTGCTTATAGTATTTGTTAAAAAATGTAATTGATGTGATCTGAGTTGTGAGGCACTTTGTGTAGGAAAGGTGCTCTATGATTAAAAGTTGATTGCTTTATAGATGTCAACACTGTGACTCAACACAGATGAAACCAGCACTTGACTAAAATGGACCAAAAAAAAGTCTGGTTTCATTGTTGTTTTTATATTTTTTAACAATTCATTCTCTACATTCTCCTGAGCTTGTAAATCTAGCTGTAAATTCTTGTCAGTAGTTAACCAACGGCTTCAGATTGTTAATTCTTTACAGTCTTCCAGTAAAGGGTTAAACAGACGCTAATGTTTCTTCTAGTCTCATTTGTGTTTTTGCCCGGGTGAGAATGTTGGGTAATTATTTTCTTAAAAGTTCCATCTGGACTCGGGAGCTGGACTCGGGAGCTGGACTCGGGAGCTGGACTCGGGAGCTGGACTCGGGAGCTGGACTCGGGAGCTGGACTCGGGAGCTGGACTCGGGAGCTGGACTCGGGAGCTGGACTCGGGAGCTGGACTCGGGAGCTGGACTCGGGAGCTGGACTCGGGAGCTGGACTCGGGAGCTGGACTCGGGAGCTGGACTCGGGAGCTGGACTCGGGAGCTGGACTCGGGAGCTGGACTCGGGAGCTGGACTCGGGAGCTGGACTCGGGAGCTGGACTCGGGAGCTCGCTGTGATTCGCTGTTTAGATTTGTCAATCACCTCCTGGATTTTAGTATTATTATTTGCACTATTTTTGACAACAAACAGCATATCTATTGTGTATCACTTTTCCTGTTTTGACAGTATTTAAATATAAAAGGGCTTCTGCGCGTCATATTTGTCATCACTGTGGAAATCGTCACAGATGTGGGTCCAGGGTTTTTACCCGCCTCTCAGGGATAATATGGGTCCTTTGAACAATGTAAACACAAAAATGTTGTTGAAAAGACAATGGTAAGTATAAAGGGCAGTATTGGGGAAAAAATCTTTTATATTTAATCTATTAGTCAATTCATCTAAAGGATTTTTTTTCATAACTATATGTTGCTGTGGCTGAGTGGTTAGCGCTCTTGCTTCTCAGCCAAGAACATTTGTATGTAGTTATTTCCGAGCTATTTCACTGAGTACAACTATAGTTACATTAACAAATTGTTTAAGTTCAGACCTGTGACAAGTGTCTAGCGCTGTTGGGTGAGAACACATATTGTACATTTCTCTGCAGAGGAGCTGACGACAGGTGTCAATGAGCTGTCAGTGTTTCAGCTTCGTTCAAACCAAAGAGCTCCATCCAGATCCGAGGCAGCGGAGGCAGCTGAGCGTCAATCACACTGTCACGTCCTGCTTTAGTTCCAGGCTCCATCAGAGAAGTCAACAGGAGCGCAGAGGAGGCCACACAACACTTAACACTGGGATTTGTAAAATGGAATAATTAAAGCAAGAAAGAATGTGCAACTTGAGAAATGTTAATCCTATATATATTCTCATTATTTTCTGCACATTTACAATCATTCCAAAAGATTCAAAGATGAACCAAATGTTGCGACCCCATAACAAGCTCCATTTGCATTAATATTTCAGATTTAAGAAGGATTAAAATGTCTGATTTTCCACCCCAATGTGAAGCAACCACGAAGGCAGCACAAAAGACAAACTCCCCTTGAGTATGCTTCTTTTTTCATTCAAGTTAAATCCTCCAGTCCCCTCCTCTCTCCTCCTCTCTGCTCTGGCCGCTGCACATGGCCGACCTGCCTGTCTGTGTTATCAGAGCTGCAAAGCGCTGATAGTCACTGCTGGGACTGAAGTCGTTTTAAAACATTAGTTCTCTCAAAAAAAAAGTTGAACTAAATCAAGCGGTGAGCGGCCAAAGTACAAAGACGACCAAATAAAATTACAACGCACTCTGAATTCAAAACAGATGCTTATGCAGTGGAGTCACGCAAGGAAGAAATTAATGGACAGCGTAGCAGCGGTGGATAGAGGTAATAGCCATCATTGTCGCGCTAAGAGGACACAGACACAAAACTGAAAATCAATACAGATGTGATCAATAGTCTTTATATTCACGCTATCGCAGGCGGGAACTTCGATTACATCTAAGGACACCATTATAGTGTGCCTCTGGTCATCGTGCTAAGTGGTTTATTGACAAACATAAATGGTTTTCTGACGCATTAGACCTGTATATGATTGTAGCGAATGTGTGGCATTGGTAATCTGGAAATGATCTGAACTTTTTTCACTGAATGCTTTGAGATCCAGATTGAGAGCACTTGGGACATCCTCAGTGAAATGTAACCGTTTTTATAATCCGTGATTTTATAAAATTGTGTGTGACTGTTTTTATAATCTGTAATCGTATGTAACTGGATGTAACTTTTGTCCAGGACTCCCTTGAAAAAGAGGTTCTTAATCTCAATGGGACCTTCCTGTTTATATTAAGGTCACACCAGTAGAACAGCCTACATTATACAATACACATGCTACAAGTGGCACTAAAAATCAAACGTATTTCAGAAAGACTTTCATTCTTGCAGCAATAAGACTTTAATAATGCACAATTTTAATGGGAGTATTGTATATGTATAATATTACCAATGTACGGAGTAATTTCCTGCAATGGATCAATGTAGTCCATCTATCTACAGTATCTATCTATCTATCTATCTACAGTATCTATCTATCTATCTACAGTATCTATCTATCTATCTATCAGTATCTATCCATCTATCTACAGCAGCCATTCCCAAACTCAGTAACACCGAGGCCCCCTTAAAAATCTGACGGGTCTGCGTGGCCCCCCAAAATAATAACCAAGAAGACAACATTAAGAATAGGCTCTTCTGGTTATTTTATTTTGGGGAAATAGCCTCTGCTACAAACATTGTAATACAAAAATGATTACAGTGGATTATTCAAGTCAAATAATGAACACAAATATTTTAATATTACAAACAAAACATTATAAATTTAACATTAAATAATTATATTATTTTTTTTATTTTATTTTTTGACCTCCCGCGGCCCCCCTGCAGTACCCTCGCGGCCCACCAGGGGGCCACGGACCCCACTTTGGGAGACACTGATCTACAGTATCTATCTATCTATCTATTAAACAGTGCACAATGGCATTTAGTCATTTTGAAAAGCTGGTCACATTCTCTGGGTTTTAGCCAATCAGAGCAGGTGATGGTGTTTTACAAGTGCGTGAGTTTAGAAAGGAGCAATCACATAGAATTACATTCAATTATAAGTACAAGTCAAGTCTAAAGGATGTTCACACAAAACAAGTAAAACCGGAACGCTACTTTCCACCACTAAATGTGGGGAACTCAAATGGAAAGACGCTCTTCTTCCTGGCGCAGTAGATTAATGCTGCAATTGAATTCCGTTTAGTTTAGTTTAGCATAGTTATCTCTGACTTTACAAGCTGTCGACTCGCCAACACAGATCAGAGAATCAAACAGTCCAAACACAGGAAATGCAATCAGAAAAAAAACACATAGAACCATAGAAGTTGATAAAGTCCATAAAATGTTGAGTGTCCTGGATAATCACCACATTTAGAAAATAAATCATGTTTGAGTAAAATCAAACTGGAATCTGATAATGTAGGTCACACTCTGTCACTGCGAGTTCTATCACATTCATAATGATGTTTTTTGCCTTTACCTTTGCCAAGTGCACAGTCTGGAGAGCCGAAGTTTGCCAAACTGGAGATGTCCGTGTTGTAGCACATGTCTGTGACCAGAGCCTTCTGCCGGCGGTGCACCGAGGAGTCTGCCAGAACACACAAGAGGAACATTATTATTCCCTTTTATTTGGTGAAGAGAGGTCCAGGCGCAGAACAGTCACAAACTGTAATCCGCTTGACAAAGAAAAAACACACGCAGATCCAGATTCAATTTTTACATTTTTGAGTGATTAGAAAAGCATCAGTCAGTAACGATAAACATATGTTCCACCTAAATGAGATTCATTTGTTGTGTTTGCATTTGGATTGAACACAAATTTACACATTCACAGATCCGTAGCCCACAAATGCAGTGGTACAGTGATGAAATTTGGTTCAAAATGTCACAATGTTGTGCTTTCAATAAGGCTTTTCTGTAGATAAACGTCACAGCCTTTCCATTTATTTGAATTAATCCAGAAAAGGTCCATGCTTGCCTCATGTTTCATCTTGTCTCATGGAAGTTCTGCCTCGTCCCACCATTTTCTGCTGACAATTCAAAATATTTGATTGGAAACAGCAATCAATGTAATAAATCAATTGTCATTAAATTCTACAAATAAAAGTAAAGTAATAAAACAGTAAAACAACTTTTTAATACCTCAAAATAATGTTCCGCTTATGAATTTGAGATAAGGCCCCGGTTTTTGCCCAGATAATGAATGTGTGTCAAGTTTAATTGTATAGCCTATGTGTGAGAAAGAATTTTGGTCACTCTCTGCGTTGTAAAGGGCTCTGTAAACAATATTGATTTGAAAGTTTGATATAAGTATTATATATAAGTAGTGAATCCAAAAAAGTTCTGTTAAATCCTAAACTAATTTCTGAATATGCTGAGCAGTTTGAAATTATTCGAGCAGACACAGCAGCATGGGTATTCGCAGGCTAATTCAATCACATTTAAAGTCAGTTAAAAGCCAATAATCATTATCAGCTATTGTCATTTGAACGAGTATTGAACAGGAATTCAAAGAGAATAAAATGTTTGGATGTTACACTTAACGCCTTTATGATTGTTCTTTTGCAGTTTTCATATCTTTGATTACAATAATAATGATAATAATACAAATCACATCATGCAACCTTTCTGCTTCTCGAGTGTTACTTTGCTTGAATTGCTCTCATAAAAAGTACAAATGTAGTCATATATGCAACTTGATTTTACTCTGCCGCAAAGCAAATCCTATAAACACAAGGTTGAACACGAGCACCTTTCTTGTATTCCCATTAACATACATAAGTTCTCTCAGTGCGTACTTGACGTGGGCTTGAGAACCATCTGTACCGCAGCCTCCGCTCATTTACATTTTTGTGACAGGTTCAATTTCACCAGCGTATGTCGTTCATTGAGACGCTGACCTTACATCACGTTTCTCAGGAGCAGTCAGCGAGTCTTTAGAGTCTGTTAAATACAACTATGCTGTGATGGTGAGAGACGGCCACAGAAGAAGATAGATGTCAGATAGAATTACAGACCGTACAATTCTTCAAGTTACCTTACAAATCATATGTTAAATGGCAATTATGCACCGACTCGTATCTACTACTAATGTTTTTAGAATTTCCCTAATTATATTTTAACTTATGCATAACTATGGAGAATAATGCAATACAAAAATAAAACTTAAAATGTTAAATATCACAGAAATGTCTCCACTATAGGAAAAACAAATGTTCTCATATGAGACTTATTATCCCAAAACCCATGGGAAAAAGGCACAGTTTTTAAATAATAATATTTTTGCTCTTTTAATAATTTTATGACACAATCCTTGTTTAGTTTTGGTTCTGATTTGATCCTTGTTTAAACCTGGTTTGGTCCTGGTTCAGACCTGGTTTGGTCTTGGTTTTGTCTATATTTATTAGAGGCAACATTTCAAACTTAAACATAATATTTAAAACTATCGTCAACAATTATAGCTCCAATTATACTAGATAAATGAACACACACTAACATAGGTGTCATAAGTGTGACTTATTTGAACATTACGCATTGAGGTGACAGTCCCTGTGCGTCTAGACCTGGTGAAGAATGAAGAAGTATACTCTCTGACCAAACAAATGCCAATGTAATTATACTCTCTACAGATGAGCTGCAAACACACATACAACGTTGCTTTGATCTAATTATGACGTTAATCTCTCTTGCTTGCAGGTCTGAGCGCTGCTGCAGCTGTCACAAGTCGTGCATACACTAACATACAGCTGAAGAGGACAGGAGCAGGACTGAGGGCTAGTCTTCTGAACTAATCACAGTAGTGCAGACAAGCCACACAAGTTTTCTTCTGATGTTAAAAAGGTAATACACACAGAAGCATGGAGAAAGAAAACATGAAATTTAGCACACACAAAAATCTGTGCAACAAAAGAGGCTGCAAGAAGTGAAGCGCGGTATAGTGAGCGACTCCGAGGGGAATCACAAATAGACCAAGCAACAGAATCTATATATCTATATAAGATGTGTCTTTGTTTGCTTAAAATAAATTGCTCTAAATCACAAAGATTCAACATTTACTTCTATGCTGCAAAGTAATTATTTCATATTGGAATATTGGAAAGGGGAGGCAAAACCAACCTGCTGAAGTTTCTGTCATTTTCTTCCAAGCAATTAAATGGAAATGACATAATGCGAGAAGAATTTTAAACAGGGTCTAAATAGGATTTCCAGCAGGGCACAAACAGAATAAATTAACAAGTGGAATTATGAAAACCCATTCAGCCTCTAACCTTTCCCACAGACTATAGGGAGACTCTGAACGTGTGGGCGGCATACAGTTTAAAGGGGACGTGCTATGCAAAATTGGCTTTTTAGAGAATTTGACAACATTATTATAGGTTTTTTTGTCTTTTGCTTTGTCTTTTATGCATGACTGAGTACTCTTTGTTTAGTCCCCCACGGCTCATGAGAAAATGGTATAATATAATAAAGTTAAGATTTAGAAGTAAATATTCCATATTCTTTCCCTACACGGTATTGTAAGAAACCTAAATCTAAATCATAATAAGGTGAAGTGTCTTGCCGAAGGACACACCTGTTTGGCACTTTACAGCCACAGCCGCCCTACTGTGGCACCTGGCTCACAGAGGTCTCCCATCCTAGTACCAATCACACCCTTTTCTGCTTAGCTTTAGAATTCAAACAGGCTTAGGGTTACACATTCAGGTATGAACTACAATCCATACTCTAGTTATTGTTTGGCCTTATGCTCATGGTTTACTATTTACTAACTCATCGGTTTTAATCAGAATTTCAAACTTGAATCCTTTTTTATTTTTTTTCAATAACAGATACAAGTTTATAAAATAAGAAAAAAGAATAAAAAACGATGGAAACACAAACAAGTCTAGCCACAGCACTGGTCCAGAGAGTAATGGCAGATTTGGACATTTATTGCAAAAAATGTCAATAAAAAGGAAAAAAAAAATGGACTTGGGCGTTTCACTGCTTAATGAGGCTTTAAATGAGTCCCATCACATATAACAGGAAATGCACTGCACTTTCAATATTCCTACAGCTAGAATGTTTGACCTTAAAATCCATCAAATGAAGCAGACAGAGCGAAGACCCGCACCACCGAGCACTTGTTTCTTATACCTTCTAACAGATTCTTTTTACAAGTCGCCTCCATCCCCCCCTGACCCCAGCCGGTCCCGCGTCTCCAGTTTTATCAGGCACAAACACATGTCGCCTACACCCCTAAAATGCTGACTCTGCTCCCCGAAGGCGCATCTCTGCCGTACACCTCTCATTAACATCCTTTTACAGCAGATGGCAATCCTGGAGCCAACATAAATCAGACACTTGATGGAGGAATAAACTCACAAAGCTGCACTTGGAGAGCGCAGATAAACAGGCGTCCACAGATGACGTGAAGTGACGCTGACTTGGCATTCATCCTCATCCTTTTATTGGCTATGACCAGATGTGAGGAATGTCACACTTGCATACAAAACATATGAGAATGGTAATATAATGGTAGTCTTATGCAGAACCAAAGTCTAAGTAGAATATTGGATATGTTGTAGACAATGTTTTGCCACGTTCCCAATTACTGTAAGTTGACGTTCCAGATTTTACGTGGTCAGATCCACTTTCAGTCGCTGTGAACAGGACCATGGGGAAGTTGATTGGTTCTATTCTAAGCTGTGACTTGGAAAACATGCATTGTATAGACAGGAATGAGCAGATCAAAGTCTAGCACTATGCCTGAAACCATAATTGTGAAGAGAGAGGGATGTTTCAGGTGTACAGCGTTTTTAATTGGCAAATCCGATGTTTTTTGGCACAGAAAAAAAGTAAGTTAAATCCCAGATAACAGACCATAAGCACACATCATCGAAAAGCCCCATGAAGCAAATTTATGACATTTACAAATATGCTTCAACTAATCTGGTTGAACTACAGATTCAGCAAATCATTCAACATGACTTTTTGTCGACTAAAACTAACCAATTAAATTAGGGCCTGTTCACACGTGTCAAGAGGACTCGATTCACTTCAAAAACAAATGCCACAGTCCCAGTAAAGCAGGGGAGTTAGCCAAGGTGAAAAACGGACCAGAGCACTGTGACCTGTGAGCTGCACACGTTCACAACTACAGACATGACTTCTTGGTCCAGCACCCTCTTCCATACAAAAAACTCAAAAAAGGGGAGTGAACTTTTGTGGTAGTATGACTCTCAACACTTGTGTCTATAGATTATCAATTATATGTTTTGTATTTTTTGAATCCCCATGGATCCTTGTATTTTTATCATACAAGGATCCATGTTTTATCAAACAAATTCCTGAATCCATTTAGCTTAAATATAAATTTTGATATGGAATTGTGACTCAAAGATATTGTATGAACGTGTGAATCATGATGTGTCCTAGTCGGTGTGTATTCAACAAAATCGCTTAAATAAATAAAATTAGATAATATTTGAATTAAGAAAAGAGTTGCGGGCAGAGATTCAAGATTCCCATCACACTCACAAAAAGGTGTGCGTTTTCTCAGGTCACATGAACAAGTTAATTATCGTATCTTTACACATGAACACACAA